TGACATTTTCCTGCTGTGGTGTAGCCCAGTTCTGGCTCTATGCTTCATTACGTGGTGCTCCCAATGCAATTCCCGACCCAGTAAAAATAACCTGCACTCGTTCAAACGTGAACAAAGAGTATGTGTGTGTGTGTGTGTGTGTGTGTGTATGTGTTCGGGGGCAAGGAATGTGCAACACCCTTTGCTATTCTCACCTCCTCTTTAATTTCCATATGGTTATGTGCCATCAGTCCACTGAACCTTTAAACACATACACACACATCATTCTCAACCTACTCAATCTATAAGAACACTAAAGACGTTGGATATAAGTAGATAAATAAATAAATGAACACATCTGTGAGCACAAATGGCTGACATTTGGTGCTCGTACTGATCATCTCTTATTTATGGCTGTTTAGCTGTGTCTCTCTGCTCCGTTCACACAGCTTACAGTATCAGATGAGCCTTCAATGGCTTCCTGCATGACTAGCCTGCTTGTTACTAACTCCAATTTGGTTCTGTCAGAGATACAACTGCTAAAACAAATTAATGTAAAGGGCCATGTTTTCTGATGCAAATTATGGCTCGTCATTGATTCTGCATTGGACATTCGTTGAATTGTCACCACTGACACATTTTAAGATAGGTGGAAATGAAATATTTTTGAATAAAAGCTCAGCTCCCTGAAGAACCTTGCCTGAGCAAGCATAGGTAAAATTGTACACCTGATTGATAAGCCTTTTTTGATCTTGCTCTTTGGCTCTAGTGCTTGATTGGCCTGCATCTGAGGCATCAAACTGTCACCTATGAGTGGCACGGGGGCAGCATGTTTACACAGGGTGACAGTGTGTTATGGACACCAACATCTACACTTTAATCACTTTAAAGGTATTTGCATTAAGAGAATTGCAACCATCCTTAAACGCTGCCTGTCAACCTTTGAGATACTAATATTAAATGTGTAATTTTCATTTGCATGATGCCTTCATTGACTAGCATTTCACGCAGTAAAGATCATGTCTTTGTAATGGCGCAACCTCCTGATAAAAGAGATCACAGTTGGTGGATGAAATCAACAGGAATATCCATTTTTTATTCACACATTTGTACAAAATGTTTACACATTTTATCATTAAAGTCAAAACCTTATCAAATTGTGTGTGCTGATGCTCTTTGCTCTGTCCCACTTAAAATCTATACATAAACAGAAAAGACAGCACCAGGACTCAAGTTTACCTGTTTATATGTACTATGGACGTTGCTCTTCTCTTGATATGGTATTCTTAGTTACTCACTTTAGCGTTTGTGTTTTATTGCATTTTGTGACATGTAATGTTTGTAATGTCTTGTTGGATAGCCTTAAATTTGCCACTTTGACAAAATTTGTCTTTATGTTCCATACGACAGGTATTACAAAGACTGGACAAGACTGCAGTAGGGGAGAGTGAAAAAGAGAAAAAGAGAGAGAGAAAGAAAGAAAGAGAATGAATGAGCTTGAGAGCATACAAGGAGGAAATTCTTAGACACCACTTTGTTTTCACAAAACCACACACAGGGCTATTACTTGCCATTACCTTTAAGAGTGAAATTTATTGCTGTTTGTATTTTCTTTAATATAGCCTGTAGGTGATCCCCCATGGTGCCTCTGCGGACAACCGCTTTAGTAAGCTTTTACTCTCCCAGCACTGCCTTTATTTACCTGCTGTTTTACAATGAAATACTCAGACTTGCATGCCCAACACCATACCATGTTTGGATTTTATTTAGCCTTTTAGTGTATGTGTTTTTGTTTGCTAACGACTGCATGACAGGCAGGTAGGAAAAAGGGTTCCAGAGGTGTGGGAACAGATACCTGGTGCTCATGATCTTGTACAAAACGCAGGACCAAAAACAAAGCAAACAAACTGAAAGACAGACAGGACATAAAGATTTAAATTTATGCCATTTACACTGTATTTGCCCGAATAAAGTTGATTAGCTGAAACATGTTTGATGTCAGTAGTTTGCTTCATAAAGCCTATAACTCACTAATTAGTATCATGAATCATGTCACATCATGTCTAAAACGTCACAAATATGCCTTGGATCACGTAATTAATCTCTAATACACTTGCTTGTGTGGTTCCTGACACTGTAAGACATACAGTAGTAGCAGTCATCTTAAAACCTGAATTTTATTCATACTTTTATCCATTTAGATAACAGGATGTCATAAACTGTCAGAAACCAAAATAAGCAAGTCAATTTAAGATTACTTAACAACTGAAAATGAGTTGAAGCAAATTAATCATGATTTAGGCACACAGTTTGCACAGTGCTAACTGCTGGGAAGACACTTTCATCACTTAGCCTCGTAGCTCCAGTGCAACAGATGCAAACTCTGCACAGAAATACTGTACGTCTTGGCTGACTGACCACATTATGGGGAAAATTGTATAGATCTGATTTAATGCTGAACTATCATGTATCTGATGTTCTCAACTTTGCTCTTATGTTTCCAATCAGGGAGCTCACTGACAGTGCATCCAGAGTCTCAGCCAAAAGAGGCTTGCCCCATTCACGACTGTAAAGTCATGGCATTTATTCTAAGATAAAAATGCTGTCCCGCAATGTTCTGTATTGATGAGAGTCAATCGCTCAGGGCCACGGTGGCATAATCTGTCCAAACAACTCCGCTCCAAAGAGGTTAAGATCCATCGATCCCGGCACCGACTCATATTTCATCCCCAAGAACAATATTCTTAATTGACGTGGATCTGCTGTTATGGATTAAAGGCTTGGGAAAAAGAGCAGGAGGGAGAAAAATAAAGGAGAGGAGAAAGGCAGAAGAAAGCCACACCTGACTTTAATGTGAAGTTCACAAATCCACTCCCCGCGTCCATTCCACCCTACCTCCATCCTCGCTCAACCCCTTTTGATTCCTCTTCTCGTTAGCCATAATCAGATTCAATGTTTTTTAATGAAACTCATGCAAATAGTGTTTTTTATATTTTGCTGATCAAATAGTCTGCCACAGCAATTGTCTTTTCATACACCCCTAAAAAATACTAATCATAAATTAAGTAGTTTGACTAGTTTACATAAATCTGCCAAGTGAGAAGAGGGCTAATCAAAAGTAGATCAAACGATTTGTCTCTAATTGAAATGCAAAAGCAGACCCTCTTAACACAGGCAGTACTACTTGAGGCTTCAGCTCTCTATCAGGAGGCCCAGTCCTTTTCTTCAGCGTCCCAGAAGCCTGTGCAGGCACGGACAACAGACGAAACTCAGCAGGCACTCTGGGAAATGTAGTCTCGAGGGCTGCCACTGGATGGCTAACGGGGGCCTGAGAGAATGTGTCTAATTAGGTCAGTTATTTTGGTGGCTGCAGGTGAGAGGCAATACCTCAAGTTTCCACAAACCAGAGAGACTGTGGAGCTTCAGGCTGACTGCGTCAAATTTTAGGTATAAGCATAGATAAACTGGCCTATGGAAGCTTTTGTGAACCTACATAAGGAACTGAATTCAGTCACTATGCAAGTGCATGGTGCAATAATTTAAGGCTGCTCAACAATGGTATTGTTTTGCTTGACAGCATATTTAGACATCCAGTTTCAGATTACAATTTTTGGAGGTACATCAGGGGTCCCAACACTACAAAAACAGGAAAAAATATATTATTTAAGGAAAACATTGGACTATTACTTTAAGGAAGAGTGTAGATTCAAGGATGGAAGGTTCACTTTTTTGGGGTTAAGGGTCATTTTTGCCTTGTTCCAGTTCAGACTCTGACCAACAAGCATAGTACTGTTTTATATACCAATTAAATCAACATCATAAATTCTGCAAAGCTGAAAATGTCTTCACTAAAATGTGGACCTATGGAAAAAAAAAAGTTCCCAAGCAAAAAAATACAAGTTTCCAAGTTCAAATTTATTACTCCAAAAACAAACAAACAAACAAAACAAACCCAAAATCAACCAAGATGATGTCCATAGGGATGTTTTATTTGTCATGTTATGTGCAAGGCTGTGATTTGTGGTTGTCATCATTTTAAAACAAGGTTCACCAACAATGATAGCTGCCAGATTGTGGTTATGATACTAATGGAATCCCCAGAAACTTTCAAAAATAGATTAGAAGAGGCAGCCTTTCCATTTTTAAACAGTAATTGTCATTTGTCTTCAGTGTTGTATCTACAAGCATGCTTGCATCAGATGTGCATAAAGGTACTTTAGGTCGTACGTCTGTTTCTTTTCTTTCATCACTAAAAATGTATCCACTTTATAACGACATTAGAGTAGCAAATGCTAAAGCATTTTTACAAGTCTTTATAAACAAAGGTAAAAACAGAAGGTGTGGGGGTTTACAGTAATACTGTATTTATATGAACAACAACTCAACACCTTTTTTAAACTCATCACGGAGCGATACAGAGAACATTGTCAGAGGGGGCAAAGTCAAATGAACAAAGAATACATCTCAACATCACTTATCGAATATCCGTTCATCGATGCTGATTAAAATACGCTCAAAACAACAAAATAAACAGTAGAATAATAAACACTTTGAGAAGGAAAAGATGACTTTTCTACACTTCCTAAAAAGTACAAAATAAATTTAAAAAGGAGTGTGTCTGTTAAAGATGAAGCAACAAATACAGACACTGTCCAACAGGAGAGGCTTACTGATCTTGATTGGAGTTATGTTGTCTGTGTTCATTCAACTCATGCCTTCAGTCTTTTCAAGCATCCCGTGGACCTTTGCGTTCCAGAGCCTCATCAAGACTTTTGTGCTGTACAGAATCACTGCTGCACAGGGGGTCAACTTAAAGCAATAATAATAAAAATAATAACAATGGTGGCATTGCCTAAGAGAGAAAACATTAAGCAAAGGGGAGAGTGCAGCAGTGTGCTTTCACGGAAGATGGAAGATTGACCAGAAGGTGTACGTTCATCCAGAAAAAGCAAAACATTTCATCATTTTAGTCTCAAAAAAGGGGTAGGATATAGAAGTTGAAAAAACAGAAGGAAAGCGAATTTTTTTCTTTTTCTACAAGTTGCTGTGGTGTGGTGGGCGGCTGCCAACAAGTGGTACTCTGGATACACACTGCAAGGACCGCAATCACACTGCACCGCAATACACATACACACACGCACGCACACACACGCACACACTTGAGTCCTGTACATGAGTTTCAGGTGATCTGGGGTGACCACCCTTACTGCTTTGCCTTCATACAAATCCCACAGCCATCTCCAAAATAGCCAAAATACAGGCAAAGAGTCCATTAGTGGAGTGAAGCAACTATCCACAAGTGGGGAGGAAATCCAAGGAAAGCTGCACATCCATCTCAGTACATGATGGGAGGTTTGGAGTAGGGTCTGTTCTCTAGACAACAAAGAGAAAACAACAGGATGCATTAGTTCAACTGTTGGAAGATTGGACAGAACATATTGTTATGAAGCCTTGCATCTTAAAACTGTCAAAACCCACATGGACACAGTGTTTGTTCTTTAGTTCACTTCCATTAGTCATTAGCATAATCATCTGGAGATCACAAGGTCAATCCCTGGCGATGGCACAGCCATCTGATTCCAAGAGTGCAAGAGAACATCACGGGCCTTGCTCTCTCTGGGTGGGTAGGATGGCTCTCTCTCCCCCATCATTCAGCACGATGCTAGGCAATGTGCGCAACTGTTAGCTTACGTTACAGAACTGGCAGTTAGCATTCCCCTCCAAATGTGTTGAGATATCACAATGATTATCTAGCAACAGTTTAAAAAGATGTGGTGGCTGGCTTCACGTGTCTCAGAGTAAGCACATGCTAGCCTTCACCCTCCCTGCCTGGTAGCTTGGGAAACCTAGCTTGGGGGTGAAATTGGCCTCGACTAAAACTGGGCTAATTTGGGCCATCATTGGGCATTTTGTCATGTACATATTTTTGGTTGGCAGCTTATTTTCAACTAGCAGTGACACTGCAGTGTGTAAAAATCCCAGTAAAATCGCTGTGGCTGATACACTTCTAACAGGTCCACATATACCACCGTGCCACTTGCATGTTGGTGTCACAACTGTACTAAGAATGATCCACCACTAAAAAAAATCTGGTCAACAGTGGTCCTACACAGTACACAAACTCAAATATGGCGTGTAATAATGTTTATTTTATTTAAACCAATTGTAAAAGCATGGATATATATTTTGAGTCTGCATGATCCTTGTACAGTTTTCTCAATGTGTTTGACACTGTTATTGGTTCTGCCTCCTCTACCCCTTTTTCAGTGGTCTGTTTTTGACTGCAGTAGTTTTGGCTGACAGACTGTTCTGAATTAGTTTAATACATAAAATGACCTGTTCTTTGGGAATCATCTTAGAATTTAATTAAGGATGATTTGCCATCCCCCAAACCCCCTGCCCACCAATCCAATCAGTCCTTTAATATGGAGAATAAGCTGATACTGAGTCTAACCAGGTGTGTATGTATGTCTGTAGTATGTTTCAAAATGACCATTCTACAGTGTGTTTAATATTTACTTTTGATCTTGTAAATATTTACTTATATGTGTTTTTTTGACCTCCCTGATAATGTGGCTACTGGTTACTTTAATATGCAAAATGTTTGATATGTGCATGACACTGAAATGATGCATCTATTGTTATATCATCATTTGTCCATGATTTTTCAAATCTATTTCAAGACTTTATAAGACTTTTTAAAGAACCTTTTTCTATTGTGACCATTTTACTTGATGGACAGGGCAGAGGGTGGCTGATAAACTGTGCAGCTCCAGCTTTCTCAAAGAAGCCAGTTTAGAGAATGAATCATTCAGCATTAGCTGCTGACATGAAGCACCAGATCAGAAAAAGACAGCTGGCTGGTAAGGAGCATGAACACTTCACTGGCATGTTAATCACAATGTGCCAAGCTTCCTTGACTGCTGCAGAGGAAACAGTTCATCAGGAATTAAGTGCTTTTACACGTTCAATACCCTTGTTTCAGTAAGCAACAACAGATGAGCTAATATATAATCAGAATGTAAACAAAGCTGTGCTTAAGGTGCAGATAGGGAAAGTGAGGTACAGTGGAGTGTAGAGTGGTTATGGGCATACAAGATGAAATCCCCCAAAATCCTGTCGCTTTCAATCTGAAACTCGGACATGAGAGCATACCACAAGCTATGCTTTGTGCTGATACACCGTTTGTGCATGCATTGCGCATCACTGTGAAACACAGGAATGTGTATCATTTTATAAATGTCTTATATGAATTTGATATGTCATTTGCAAGGTGTGAACGCCACACAGAAGCCTTCCAGAAATAGCCAGCAGACTAATAGAGTTGCTCAGATGGGTGCACCGAAGATGTGTTTTATCGTGCTGTGAAATATGAGTTGTAATATCCTGAAGTGCAATTAATTGAGCCCTATGGCTGACAGCAGGCTAAATCTGCCATAGAAATGCAGCACCCAAGGGACAGGGAATCCAACAGATCATCTGCTTCAGGCTTTAATCTGACACAGAGCAAAATGGAGATGCACCTATACTGTTCTATGAAATATGGACCAAGTTATTCAAATCTAAAAATTTAAGTATAAACGATTGTCTATGCATGCTGTATGAATATTTTATTTTCTTTATATGTTTTTACACTTAAAAACCTCAATTCCAAAATTGTTGAGCATATGAAATGCAAAAAACACAATAACAGTGATTAGTAAATCCACTTTCACCTGTATTTACACACAAACAGTGCAAAGACAATGTATTCATGTTTGACCTTATTAACATTGTTGTTTTTTGTAAATATACGGTCATTCTAAAATTGATGCTTGTGACACATTCTAAAAAAAGTTAAGACACAGGCAACTTAAGACTCGAAACTTTATGAAATGATAAAAAAAACATCACAATAAACAGGTGGTGAAAACATGCTTGGGTGTAAAAAGGGGCATCCAGAAAAGGTTCTTTATAGCAAGTGTAGATCAAAGCTTGCCACTAATGCAACAGTGAATAATCCCGTAATGTAGGAACAATGTTCCCCAATGAGTGATTACAAGGATTTTAGGTATTTCACCCTCTACAGTGCACATCATCATCATCAAAAGATTCAGAGGAATCTCTGCATAAAGGGCAAGGCTAATAAACTATGACCGAATGTCAATGACCTTCAATCCCTCAGACTGCACCACAATAAAAACCAGCATGCCCCTGTGATGGATATCCATTTGGCCTCAAGAATAAAAACCGTTGTCAGTGAACACCATTTGTCACTGCATGCACAAATTCAAATACAGACTGTACTATCAATAGTCATATTTATACACATTTTGGAGCAATGTATGCTGCCTTCTAGATGACATCTTTTTTACGGATGACAAGTTTTATTTTATTTCAGCATGACAATTTCAAACCACATTCTGTTTGTGGCTGTGTAATGAGAGCGCAGGTGCTAGACTGGCCTGCCTACTGCCCAGACTGTCTTCCACTGAAAAGGTACAGCACATTATTAAGTGCAAAATGTAACAAAAGCCCTGTATGGTTGCACAGCTGAAGAATTTAATAATGAAAGAATGGCAAAAATTACGCCTTCAAAACTAAATCAATTAGTGTCTTCAATCTCCAAATAATTATTAAGTATTGTTAAAAAGAAAGGTGAAGTAACACAACGGTAAACATGCTCCTGTCCCAAATTTCTGAAATGGGTTGTAGGCATCAAATTTGACATAAGCACACATTCACAGAAAATACAATAAATAATTTACTAATCATTGTTTCTGTTAGTAGCATTTTACATATTTTCCCCAGCTTTTTTGGAATTGAGGTTTATATTAAACTGGGCTTACAGCTAGTCCAGTTTTGTGTGAGTTGAAACACAAACCAAACGTTACTGACTTTGGATCTTCAAGGACTAGATTATTAACTTCTGTTCTTGATTTTCCCTTAGGATGTTAGCTGTCTGCTTTCTACCGAAGTGTGTTCAACTTTGCATTGCCTTAAAGGCACAGTGGCTAGACATTCTAACTGCTGCCAGAGGTGAGGTGTTTTGTTTTCATGGCCCACATGAGAGATACTGTAAATAGATGTGCGAGGGAAAAGAGGGTGGTCCTCCTTAGGGACACTCTCCACACCCACTGACCCCATATTTCATTTTACCTTACACCTGCATCTCCCCCATCTCTCAGCCAAATTTCTTTTCTGCTTCTAATGCAAACTAAACTGTTATGGTGAAGCTTGACTTTTTCATACACTTATTTTTTTTTTCCTTTGCTGCCAATTAGTGGGTTGCAAACTTATGAATATGAATGGTACCCAAGGGTCTCATTTGGTGCATGCCCATCCAGTGTATCTGGAGGCACAGTAGGTCATTTATAGTTTTCATTGTAGTTGTTCGCAAATGCATAATTACCAAAGTGGGAGGCATGCAATACTTGGACAAACAGGTGGGATTTCTGACAATGGCACTGGAAGACACAACTATCTCAAGATGCTCTCTCAACACTCCTGGTCCACCTCCTTAATTACTTTCCCTCCTCACCTCTCCCCTCCACCACCCATCTGGCTCCCTTCTTTTAATCGGCTTGTAAAGTGATGTCACCTTCTTTTGTGTTCAGCACTTTGCTGTTCGCGCTGCTTGTCTTGATTAATCAGAAAAGGCACGGGTCGGCGTAATGGGCCAACACCGGCCTGGAACCTGAGAAAGCGTAAAAAGCTTTTAGCTCACCGAACGGGCTCTCTGCAAGGACAATCAAACCTAATGAAATCAGTTGTCAGTGCTAAGCTTGCAAAACTGTGAAGTCCAACTTGGGAGTGAAGCGCGAGCTAATTAGATTTTTGCTGGGCGTAATGGATAAATGTGGCGAGGCGTGGGCAGGGGGGCAGGAGAGCTGGGAGGGGGAGGGGTCGGATAGCGGACTTCATACACAAACTCTTAAAGTGGCTCCTCTCATGCATCTGTTGAGGTCCTACTCCATAGACCCTTTGAACTTATTTTATTTTTGCAAAATGCTTGGTTCAATAAGACTGTGCATTTAAGAGAAGAAATGGGTTCAGTAGAGTCTTGACTCCCCCCACCTCCTACCCGAGGCATAAACAGCCATCCTTTAATTAGCGACTGAAAAACTTCTTATGGAACAGTTTCTTATTTGTAGAACGATTGGTTTTGCTGTATGAGACTTAAAACATGATTGGCTACAAATAACCTTTACCTTAGGTAACTGCTATTTACTCATTTGACAACGTAACAGTGTCAGTCAAACAACTGTGGCCAACACTTCACACACTGCTGTTAACACTCAGATCATGAGCCTTTCTTCACACGAGTGTCATGGTTGGAAAAAAAGGTTACCAAATATGACTTGTCCTCCTGTCACCACTGTAATACAACCATCATTGTCAAGAGTGAGGAATGGAAGAAGCATGACAGGTTGGCAGCGTGGCCAAACGATTACAAACACATCGCAGGGCTTTTACCATGACCCTCTTGTCGGCCTCGGGCGTTACGGGGCATGATCAGCTCCACACTGTCCCTGATTTCTTTCCTCACTCTAAAGGTCAGGGGTATCATGGCTAAGTTGCTATTGCTAATCCTCAATGTTATGCTAGCACTAGCAACAGCACAGATCTGACTTAAAAGTGGGGTATCTGATAAGGTGAAATCCCTGAAGTCTCCAAATTTGTGTTATAGTTCTCAAATCTGTACTATAGTTTTCTGTTCTCTCATGCTAGCAGCTATGATTAGTGTAGAGCAAACATGTCCCTGTTCCAGAGAACTAAGCAATGAAGTTTCTTGGTCTGGATGTTGGTTGGTCTGCCTTTGATCTTTTGTTTTTGTAGGTCGGACCTGGTGAGAGCTATGAGCTCAAAATTATGAGAAGTTACACATTTAAAGTATACCTTTTCTTCAGTTTGACCATGAAAGCCACTTTGACCCGCTGATGACCTTTTCAACTGCAACTGAACCCTGGAGCCGCACAGAGAACCAAGTGAAGGTTACTACAGGATGATTTTAGCACTTCACTATAGTAGTAGTTCCGCTGTCAAAAGCAGAAGAAAAATGGACATCTCTCTACTTGCAGACTGCAAAACTGAGTATGAGGTGGGGGAAAAGAAAAACATAATCCCTGACCCTCTCCTGTTTTTTAGACCAGCACTCTGTAGCCTGTTTTGACAGAGTCTTCTGTAAACATATGCATTTGTTCACCTTTTTCCAGCCCCACATTTCACTAAGATCTACCAGATTTGGATGGGTCTCCAGGATTGGAGGGGCGCTCTGATGGAGTCAAGGTATGTATGAAAATGTATGTTGGGGGAGGGGCAATTATAAAACAAAAACAGGACTTGCAGAAAAAAAGGTGCAAAACACACACAGAACAGCATGAGTGTGCAATCTCTCTTCTGAAAGACTTGACATCTTCAAAGGGCCTGAGAAGACATGAGGTGAGATTTGAGGCGAGGGCCTCTGCTTAGAGTTTTTGATTGTAGCACAGGAGATGGAGGGGGCTCAACCCTATCTGTGGCCTCTACCAGGCCAGTGTAGCTGAGGGGGATCCTGACCATGTGTGTTGCATATGGCTAGCTGCATCTTCCCTCCCCTTAGACTTCTTATCCCTTACCTTTCCCACCATACTCCTTTGGCACAAGGATGCGAAAGACCGGAGTGATGACTGGATGACCTCAGCTTTTTCAACTGGAGGCCAGTTTACCTTCATGTCATGGGTGAGATTTGGGATACAGGTAGGGTTCTAAAAAGCTCCTCTAGCATATGCTCACTTCTAACGTTCACAGTACAAACTTGCACACAAATTACACACAGACGTGCAAGCAGTCTTACCTTGTACGGCTGAGTTCTCCTGCTGATTGCCGTTATGCTCAGGCTCTACTTCTGGTATCACTTTTTCTAAAAATCAACCAATCAAAGCACACTATTAGAAGCTTCTAATCACCGTCCAACCAATCACAGCATCACTCACAATGCACAATTACAAATCTTTCCAAGCAATCACTTATGATTAAAAAACATCCTGTGTTCTTGTCATGGCCACAAACTGCCACAGGGTTAAACAACACAATTGTGCTCCTAGTGACTTTGAAAATGAAATTAATGTTTTGGTTACACTTTATTTTGAACATCCATTCTAGATGCTTTGTAGATACCTTGTCTTTAACTAACATTGAACTAAATGTTTTTACTATTAAATACAACTAAACTGAAGCTGTATAGATTCCACTAAATCTAACCCTAATCTTAAACCTAAACCTAACCTTACCTTCTACCTAAAACTTTGCACTTATCCTAAACCTGGCTCTAACCCTAATGCTGTTAATAATCAAGTGAGCTTCACCAGGTAGTTTGATAACATTCTGAACATCTGCTTCTATGTGGCACAAGAAAAAAATCCAAATTTCACCAATATTTTCTCAAACATTAAAAATACAACTGAATCTTGTACTGAAGTTCTCCATAGTAAAGATTTATTTATTTATTCATTCATTCATTCATTAATAAGTCATTTCCTATACTCAAAACAAGACATTAAGTTAAGAAATATTTCATGTGCTGTAAGAGAATTTACAAATTTACACTTATCTGTCACTGTATCTGACACTGACACATACGTAATGAGTAATACTAGACCAAGACAACAGGTCGAAAGTCGACTCCAGACAGTAGAATATGATAGGAAATATCTGTTTACACAACAAAGGCAGTTTGTGTCTTGCAGATAGACAATCACTTAGTCTGAGTACAGATAGGACCAAACAGCAGATGCTCTCCCGTAACACAGCGCCTTTCTCTCCCAACCCCCACTCCACACTCAGATGAAAGACAAAAACAAAAGGCATATTTCTCTTAATGAATTCACTTTTAATCAGCCTTGGCCAATAATTGCCCCTGCACTCCAAAAAACGCTTGCAGATGTTCACATGAGCTCATGAGCCCTACGTCTTTCCCCGTTTGCATTCTGCTTCTGCTAAGATATTCACAATTAAACAAGTGAAATCAAAACAACGGGTGATTACCAAAACAGTTTAGCCCTCGCTAAGCATGTGCATTTAGAGCATTTATGATAAGCATCAGCCTCCATTTCCTCCTCTAGCATTACAATGCTAATGCATCGCTAATAGTCGTTGCTTATACGGAAATACCAATATCAGCATTGATAAGGAAATATGAGAAAGAGGAGAAGGAAGAAGAATGGAAATAACACTGGAAAAATGTCCTGAGAGGGTGGAACAATGGATTAGTGAGGAGATTAGAAGAGAGGAGGTTGTTTAAGAAGACAAGGGGATGGAAACAGTGCATATAGTACTTTAAAGGAAACAGCAAAACACTGGGAACTGAAAGTGAGAAATATAATGAGAGAGCGGGTGAGAGAGAGAAAGAGGTAAAAGGTAACTCACCATTGAGACTCATGCAGAGGCTCTCAGGAGAGGTGGCCTGTTTGAGGGCCTGCTCCACCTGCTGTCTTCTTTTTGCCTCAAACTCTAGAGCCTCTTGCAGTTTCCTCTTTGCCTTTTTCTCCTTCTTTAGACGCTTCTGGATGGTAGCTGGGGAAGGGAGAAGGAGAGAACGATATGAAGTGTGAACTAGCATTAGTGCACAGATGTGTCTCGCAATGACGTTTGCCGCTTTATTGCAACTGACACAGACACCCATGCAGTTAAAAAATTCACACCTGGAAACTTGAAAGTGCTCATTAACACCGACACAACACCACACATCCACACAGTGAATCCAAAACAGCCTTGTGAAGCATGTGCCACAGAGTTGTCCTCACCTTCACGACCTTCAAAATATTTTTATTTCTTACATGTGTCCTTTTTCAGCAAAATAATTCAATGTTTTTAATCACACTGGTTTTAATTCCCTGGACCACGAATAAACAAATAAACATGTATCAATACTATGCAAATGTAAGCAAACAATAAGGAAAAACACAGGGTACACTGAGAACACTATGCATGCGGTAGGCTCCAGCAAGAGGTGGGCAGTAACACTGCATAGTTACACTTACTCATGTGTATTAGATAAAAATTTGATGGATTTGTACTTTTGAGCATTTTTAAATGATAATACTTGAACTAACTTCAGTCAAATAAACCTCTGTTCCTACGTTGACAAATGCGGGATGTATTAAGTTCCCCTGTAGTTCTATAGGAAACTCAGTACTTGGGGCCTTTTTTGGACATTTTTTGGTTATAATTAAGTTATTTTTAGTGGTTACTTTTACTTCTAGTTTACATTTCCAAGTAAGGTTTTAAGTTACTCTACCTGCCTCTGGTTCTAGCTCATTTCTTTTCATTGCTGGTCAAACCTTCAGACTTAAGGCTTGTGATCAGCCAGATTCCTGTAGTACTGTTCTGTACATTTCATTTGTTTCTCAAATCCAAGAACTCAAGAGCTATAATATATGGCACCATTTGCTCAACTGCGACTGTATGCTCTTTCAGATCAGATGCATGCTGTTGCAAGAACAGGTGCAGATACCTGACAGCAACATTGTTGCCTCTGTGCAGTTCTTCTTGAACATGTGTAAACAAATGTGTTTATGTATGTATACACATTCACAGCAATTAACAGCTCTTTCAAACAGACTTAGTCTGGGGCTCCCCACAAGCACACACATACTTCAAGCTCTATCTCTGTCCTTTGCTAACATCCCTTCTTTCTCACACCTCTAATTACTTGCGTTTGATTCGACAAATCCTTCATTTCCTGCACCATTAGGAGCTACATTTGAATAACACGCGTGGCAGTAACAGCCATGGCTAATAAATTATTGAAGTGTTTGTACATATTGTAGGAGCTGTTATGCAGCCAGCTAATTGGCTTAATTTCTTGGCGCGGGTGGCAGCAGTCGACTTGGTGGTAAATTCGACTGCCTGAAATGTATGGGGATGTTCTTTTGGCAGAATACCATCATCATTTAGTCATTTAATTCAGTGGATACCATTAATATACTTTTTTGTCATTTATTAATCATTCATTAATGTAGATACTAATGTGACATTCTGATTAATTTATTGCTGCAACCACAAAGTGGAAGGATATTGTGGTTTAAATCAGCACAGATGCATTTTTCTCTTTACTCTTTACTCACAACAACTTCTAGCATTTACATGTATGTCAGTGATGCTGAAAATGAAAAAAGCAACCCCACAAGCATGCATCCAGCAGCACTCTTACCACTTTTACCAGAATTTTGTTTTTGTGTTTAAAAAGGCATTTTTTCTAATGATCACCACCAAAACAATCTCACAATTTTTTTTCACCATAAATTGGATCAGTTACACTTTCATATAAGATTTCATACATTTTCAGATATTTGGTACCTACAAAGAGAATAAAACAAATTAGACCCCCCCAAACACACACACACACAGCCAAAAACACACACTCATTTGCTTGCCTGTACCTCGGCTGTGTAGCTCAGAGGTGAGCTGTCTCTCCAGGCTCTCCCTCATCTCCCTCTCTCTATACAGCTCCATCTTCAGTTCTTTCCTCTCCTGCTGGACCTGTTTCTCCTGCACACGGGCATTATCCACAGCCACTTTCAGCAGGCCCTGTGCCGCCAACACAACCCAACACACACCACTTTAATATAAAGTTTCGAAACACATTGTTATTGTTCATCATGGCTGCATGACTTCACACAATTATTACTTTAATATTAAACAGTTTATGTAAAAAAAACATACATGGACAGGATCTAGTTTAAAAAAAAAAACAATTTCATGCTATTAAGCAACCACTCAAAAACAATTTAAAAAAAAAAGGATACATTTTGAAAAACGAACATCACTCACATGAATTTAAAATATTGCACTGGTATTATCCTTAAACATTAGTTCTGAACAATTTCTTTATCCTTCGAACAAAACATTTTCATTTTTGAGGGGAGGTCTTCTAGTACAAAATACCTTTGTACATGGAAATTGGTTCTCATAGGATGAACCTTTTGGGGGGTGTGCACCAACATTATTTTTTATTGGCTAACTATGCATACAAAAAGCGGACAGAGCTTCATGCAGAATGTGAAAGTTTAATGAACGTGGAGAAATGTAAAGAGGGCTAAATCAGGAGGGAAGGAATCACAGCTGAAATAGGAGAACCACTGGTTTAAAAACTGTGCAGATGTCAACATACAGAAATGCATTTTAATTGATATCCTGAAAAAGTCAACAGTGGGGAAACTAACTAACTGTCAAACTGTGACAAACCTGTACAATACAGGACAAAAGCTTGGAAGCAAAATCACATTTGTACAAAAAAGAAAAAAAAAGTAAATTGTGTCTTTTCAAGAAATAACACAGTAATATCTTTATTAATAAAGAACAAAGGGGTTGTGGTAATTACAGTGATCATCCTGAAGATATGGCTGTTTTAGACACTAAAACACAGCATGGCTGTACCTGGATATTGGTGAGCAATGTCTCCACAGAAGAAAGGCCATCTGCGAAAAGAAATGGAGCGGGGAAGCCTGGAGGAAGAGTCTGAGTGCTCAGAGGAAGCTTCTCAAAACCCGGTTTCAGCATGGGCAGGGCTAGCTGAGCTTCATCTGAGAAAAGAAACACACATACACAAAGCAGAGTGGTAGTTAGAAAGTGAACAGCATAACAACTACAAACAACTGTGCAAGACATGGTAGACCGCTAAAACTGCCATATATCAGATAAACAGTAAACAGTACTTAAAGCTTTTAACTTAGAGAGACACGATAAAATCAAGCTCTACTCTTGCTACACATCAGAAAAAAATCCAAGGTGTTCCTGTCCATCTTGCCATTGTGAGAAGACAACTCAGTACTATGGTAGACTGATGAGTCTAACTTTGCAGGTAGGATTATTGGGATCAAAAGAAACAGAAAATACAATCAACTTCTAAAACTGAACCTTGGAGATTTATGAAAATATCCCTGGAGATTTATTTTAAAAAATGATTGCAAGTCACCTGAAAAGAATGGAAGCTGCAATTTAAGGCAAAGGGTATATTTAGAAAATGGTATTATATGTAGTTGTTGAGGGTTCTGTGTAATTTTCTGACAAATATGTTTTATGCTTTTGTTCCTGACGCTATAACAAATAATAACTTTACAAAAGTTCTTAATGGCTGTTTTGACTAGAATTAAAAGTGGATGAAAATGAAAGGGTAGATTCTGACTTTTGCACAGTACTATATATTCTAAAACTCAGTCATGGTGTGTGTGTGTGTCTTACACACACACACACACACGCACACACACACACACATACACACACACAAACACAAACACTCAGTCTTACACACTCGCTAAGTATTTTGTAAACAGATTCACTGCATGGGAAGACAATAAATGAGATCAAAGTTTTTCAGGTGTTCAGCTTACAACACACACACAGAGCACTGTGGAAAACCACCCAAAACATTACTCAGTAGGAGGACAGATAAACCCAGGGCAGAGCACTGTGTATTTCTGAAGGAGCTAAGAACCACTGTGTCCAAACCTCAGAACAGCAGTTAATCTTTCACTTTACACACAGACACACACACACACACACAATATTGTATTTCACCCACTCTCTCTCTTCTCCCCCACACATGCTTGAGCCACAAACCATAGTATCCCCCTCCCAAAATGAAGCCCAGACAGACAGAAGAGAGGATGGAAAGAGTTGAGGTATTGAAAAGGACAGTGAAAGAAAGTGAGCAGGGGAGACGGGGGAGCCATGATTCACCTGGGCTAATCTGGCTGGGGCCTGTGCGCGCTGCTGTGCTGACATGGGCCATCCGGGCCTCCCTGGATAAGACAAATAGGACAGGGCGGGCTGTGGGGGATGGGGGGGATAGTGGGGCTTTGGGGGGAGTTGTGATGACAGTGTATTACGGGTCACATCGATTTCCCTGCGACATAACCCCACTCTCCGCTCGGCCCATTGTTCATACCCCCACCTGTCCCCGCAGCCATAAATTTTCCCCTTCTCTCGCCACTGCAAAGGGCATTAAAGTAGAAAGCTAGTGGAAGAATAAGAGAAGCAAGATGGAGAGAAAAGAATTCTTCTCCCTTCTCCTCTATGAATGGCCTGACAGTGTGTGATTAAGTTTTTGGTACTGCTTGAAACTGGTGAGTGGATCAAGGTCATGCAGAAAAAGTGTGAAGAAGGAGGAGGAGGAGAGAAAGGGGGAGAGAGAGAGAGAGAGAGAGAGAGAGAACAGTGAGAAAAGGGGTAAAAAACACTTGAGGGACAGAAGTGTGAGGTCAACTGTTAGATTTTGAGGTGACGACCACAAAAATGTTTAAGAATGCAATGTTAAGCTCTGTGTTCTTTGTGTTCTTCAGCTCTAGCACACCTGTTCACTGCCTTCAATAACAGGAGTTTAGCAAATGTTAACGTTAATTACGTCTGTCTATGTTTCAAGTTGTAGGTTTATTTTATGTACTGTCTGCTCGACTCGCCAGGTGAGAAACTACAAATCCCAGGTCCAGTTAGCTGGCAGAAAGGAGGTTAATGGCAGTGTACTCTTAAAAGCCCTGGCCTCCTGCTGGCCCCTGCACACCTAATTGCAAGTCCCATTTAAACGACAGATTTATCTTGCTGCAGCTGCTGATAGCGCCCACTTCAATTCATTTTATTCTGCCGGCTGAGTGCGGGAAGAGCCCTCCGCCCGTGACATTTACAAAGTGCCCCCGTTCTGTCTGCCCTCACCATAATGTGCACGAGTAATGATACAATATATGTGTGTGTGTCTGTGTTTGTGTGTGAGTGTGTGTACTCAGTTCTACTCTCCATGCGAGGTCCCCATGTTACAGGAAAAAATACAACTTTATGAAGACATTTTGCTTTCCTTTTTTTACACAAGATTCAGCTCTTTGACTCACATAAAGAGTGTAAAATGTGTAGAAGTGTGTGTGTTGGTGAGTCAGAATAAAGCTAGGCGATATGGTATCTGTTTTAAGGCTGTGTGTAGAGGCAGCACCTGCTCTTCCACATAAAGCCTCTTAGATATGTCACCTAAAAAGCCTCAATCAAAAATTGAGGCTGTTTTTGTTCTTTTCAGAATGCAGACTGTGAAATGTCATCTTTTAAAGTACCTTTTCCTCAGACCAAAAGAAATACACATACAAACATGCAAAAAACACCCCAAGCCAAGAGCACAAAGCTTGCAAATAGATAAATAAATAAACTAACAAAATGAGGGGAAGTGCTTTTTTCTTTTAGCCCACCGTATGCACTGCATCAATTATTCACCGATTGAACCCTTTTATTTGCCCTCCCCCCTAAAAATAAAGACAATATGGTGTTTCTGGAAAAAGCTTTTCCTTCTGTTTTCAACAAAAGAAAAAAATGTGCTGGTGCTGCTATTGTGAACACTGCAAAGCCCTCCATGGAAAAGTAAAAAGGAATAAAAATAAGTACAATGGACAAAACTGGTGACAGAGAGAATGTAAGAGAATGTAAAATCTTAGGTTCTTGAACTTGATGCCACTTTAAGTGAAACATTGTCATGAAGATGAATGTCTAGTGCATTATAAGTAGAAGTGGTTTACAGTACCTTATAATTCAAATACACAGCCTTGCTATTACAAAACATTCCAAAAATAAACTGGGACCGGGCAATGTAAGACTAGGAAGTTAGTGGAATTTTCAAGAACACTTGTTTTGGAACTTTACACAGGTAGCCAGGTGAATAGGTAAAGGTGATTACCTATCATGATTTGATATGAAAACACAATTCTTTGCGGCAACTGCAAAAGCAAGTTAAAACTCTACTACACAAGGTGAAAGCCTTATATCAACAGCATCCAGAAACACTGCTGAATTTTCTGGGCAAAATTTTATCTGAGATGAACTGACATAAAGTACAAAATGTGTGTTGTGGCCTGACAAGTCCACCTTTCAAATTGTTTTCAGAAATAATGGACATTGTGTTCTCTGAGCAAAAGAGGACCATCCCAATTATTACCAATGCAAAGTTCATCCATTATGGTATAGAGGTGTCTTGATGCCAATGGCATGCATATCTGTGAAATCACCATTAACTCTGAGGGGTACATACCCAATTTAGAAGACAATGCCAAGCCACATTCTGCATGGGTTCCAACAGTGTGGCTTTGTAGTAAGAGAGTGGTGATGCTAGATTTGCCTGCCTGCAGCACCTGTCTACCACTGAAAATGTGTGGCACAAATGAAGCGCAATATATGACAACAAAGACCCCATTGTGCAGTTGAGCAGCTGAAGTATCATATCAAGCCAAAATGGTAAAAAATTCACTTTCACAGCTAGAACATTTGGTGTCCTCAGTACCCAATGATTACTGAACATTGTTAAAAGGAAAGATGATGGAATACAGTGGTAAACATGACCCTGTTACAACTTTTTTGGAACATGTTATAGGCATCAAATTTTAAGTAAGTGTATATATATACAAAAAAAAAATATATGTTAATTATTTGAAACGTTAAATATCCTGTCTTTGTACTGTTCTCAACTGAATACAGGTCAAAAAAGATTTGCAAATCTCTGCTATATGTTTTTATTTACTTTTTTCCTACTATCCCAATTTTTTTGGAATTGAGTTTGTACATATACACTATGAATTTGCAGAACTTTTGGAAAATTATAAAAAAAAAAAAGTCTACATGTTGCCAAGAAGACCACACATGTTAAATACTAGCAAAGACAATTAAAATTGAGAAAATTTAATTTCCCTGTTTCCACTGCCTTTATACATTTAGCCAAGATCAGACAGCAATAATAAAATTCATAAAATGTTCAGATATTTAATACAGATTATGAATCTGAGTGCTGATGTGGCAGAAAACTTTAGCGTAGCCACTGATATAAACTAAGATGTTTTGAGATAGTTGAGATAATTTTTAAATTAGGCATAGTCAGGCTAAGCATCAAAGTGGGTAATGCTGAAATCCTCAAAAGATGGAGCTCTTGTTCAAGATTTCAGAAAGATGGAAGGTACAGTATCTTTGCTTGTTTCACCACTTCTCCCTCCCTTCCCTCTTTCTCTGAAGACTCTTTCCTCTAGGAGAGCTCTTGACATAATGTCAGCCTTCTCTGAGAAGGTGGATCTTCCATCGGTTCCATATGGACGAACAGATGCTGGAGAGAGCGCGGGAGGATGAGAGAGATAGAGACCCTACGAACCACAGTGCAGTTTCCTTGCCCTCACAGAGCCTATTTGTTGGTTTTCATTTTGTACATGTGTTTAAGAGAACATCTCCTGAATATTCAAAGGGTTCCAATTAGGAAATAATTTAGCCCTGGCCTTCAGTGTGCTGTTTTTGTCAGGTGCATGAACACACACACACGCATATTTTTGTTTACATGTGGATTTACATATCAAGATCAAGGCACTCCAGTAATCATCATAATTGCCAAAGTAAATGTTAAAAGATGAGCAACGGCTAATTATTTGAGCTCTAGATGTGAGGCCCATAAATTGGCATGTATTAATACTGTCAAACTAAGAAAGGTAAGAAAACTAAATAAAGGGAAACTTATGTACCATATACTTATATAAAATTATTTTTACCTAATTACCTAAACTTTTATCATGGTTTATGA